CCTGTGTAATAGCTGAATAGCTGAGGGTCGCTGATTTCCTATAGGATATGTACTGTGTGTAGGATATCTCTGACATCCTGTGTAATAGCTGAATAGCTGAGGGTCGCTGATTTCCTATAGGATATGTACTGTGTGTAGGATATCTCTCACATCCTGTGTAATAGCTGATTTGCTGAGGGTAGCTGATTTCCTATAGGATATGTACTGTGTGTAGGATATCTCTGACATCCTGTGTAATAGCTGATTTGCTGAGGGTAGCTGATTTCCTATAGGATATGTACTGTGTGTAGGATATCTCTCACATCCTGTGTAATAGCTGATTTGCTGAGGGTCGCTGATTTCCTATAGGATATGTACTGTGTGTAGGATATCTCTCACATCCTGTGTAATAGCTGATTTGCTGAGGGTCGCTGATTTCCTATAGATAAGGTGTATCGTGTGGTAGGATATCTCTCACATCCTGTGTAATAGCTGATATGCCTGAGGGCTCGCTGATTTCCTATAGGATATGTACTAGTGTGTAGGTATCTCTCACATCCTGTTAATAGCCTGATTTGCTGAGGGTAGTGGATTTCCTATAGGCTATCGTATCGTGTGTAGGATATCTCTCACAGTCTGTGTTAATGCTGATTGCTGAGGTCTAGCTGATTTCCTATAGGATCTGTACTGTGTGTGGATATTCTCTCACATCTGTGTAATAGCTGATATGCTGAGGGTAGGCTGATTTCCTATAGGATATGTGCTGCTGTGTAGGGATATGTCTCACATCCTGGTGTAATAGCTGATGTTGCTGAGGGTAGCCTCGATTTCCGTAATAGGATCTGTACAAGTGTGTTAGGATATCTCTTGACATCTTGTGTAATAGCTGAATATGCTGAGGGTCGCTGATTTTTCCCTATAGGATATGTATGTGTTGTAAGGGATATCTCTTGACCTCCTGTGTAATAGCTGATTTGCTGAGGGGTCGCTGGATTTCCTATAGGATATGTTACCTGTGTGTACGGTATCTCCTCAACAAAATACAATTAGATAGATAACCTATGGCTGATTTTGGCTGAGGGTACGCTTGATTTTCCTATAGGATTGTACTCGTGTGTAGGACTATCTTGACATCCTGTGTAATACGGCTGATTTGCTGAGAGTCGCTGATCGTTCCTATAGGATCATGTTACTGTGTGTAGGATCTTCGCTCAGCATCCTGTGTAAAGTAGCTGATCTGGCTGAGGGTCGCTGATTTCCTAGTAGGATAATGCTACTGTGTGTAGGATATCTGCTCAGCTCCTGTAGTAATAGCTGATTTGGCTGGAGGTTTTGCTGATTCCTATAGGATCTGTACTGTGTGTAGGCATATCTCTCACATCCTGTGTAATAGCTGAATTAGCTGAGGTCGGCTGATTTCCCTATAGATTGTATGTGTGTAGGATATTCTGACTCTGTGTAATAGGCTGATTTTGTTGAGTCTAGCTGTTTCCTATTAGGATCATTGTACTGGTGTGTAGGAGTATCTCTCAGCATCGGCTGTGTAATAGCTGATACTGCTGAGGGTAGCTGGATTTCTGTACTGTGTGTAGGATATCTCTCACATCCTGTGTAATAGCTGATTTCCTATAGATATGTACTGTGTGTAGGATATCTCTCACATCTGTGTAATAGCTGACTATGCTGAGGTCGCTGAGTTTCCTATAGGATATGTAGCTGTGGTGTAGATATCTTGACCTCCTGTGTAATAGCTGTTTGCTGAGGTAGCTGATTTCTCTAGGATATTCGTACTGTGTGTAGGATAGTATCTCACATCCGTGTAATAGCTGGTATGCTGAGGGTCGGCTGATTTCCTATAGATACTGTACTGTGTGTAGGATATGCTCTCACATGCCTGGTGTACAGCTGATTTGGCTTTGAGTCGCTGATTTCCTATAGGAATATGTAACTGTGTGTGGATATCTCTCACATCCTGTGTAAAGCTATTTGCTGAGGGTAGCTGATTTCCTATAGGATATGTACTGTGTGTAGGATATCTCTGACATCCTGTGTAATAGCTGATTTCCTATAGGATATGTACTGTGTGTAGGATATCTCTCACATCCTGTGTAATAGCTGATATGCTGATTGTCGCTGATTTCCTATAGGATATGTACTGTGTGTAGGATATCTCTGACATCCTGTGTAATAGCTGATATGCTGAGGGTAGCTGATTTCCTATAGGATATGTACTGTGTGTAGGANGTTCGAACCCCCCCGAACCCACCCTGGCTACGGACCTGCTACTGTAACATTTTATATACATGTGCGCTTGCATGCATGCATGATTGAGTGTGTGCTTGCGTAAGTGTTTATATAAGCACTAGTGATGTGATAACATATCTCGCCACAAAATTCTCTGATATGTGACACACTGCAATACCAAAAATTCTACTGCAATAAGGTGATATGCAATGTCCTGTTATCTAATGTGATAGAGTCCATGAAAACCTGTTGCGTTTCCGTCCATACAAGGAACAAGATATAATGTGAAGGCTTTTCTCATAGGTCGTTTGTTGTAGGGGATCTGGCCCACCTCATGGATTATGAGTCTGAGCGTCAGCTTCGGGTGTTGCCTGTCATGGCGACAGTCGATGGACTGAACAGACTGTACGGCACGTCGCTTGCTCCTGCTGTGATGCTGCGCAGCCTGGGGCTGCAGGCCACCAATGCCCTCAAACCACTCAAGGTCTTTCTATGCTATATTATACATACCCACTATATCCTATATATTCTGTGCTATATACTGTATACTGTTTAATATTTACTGTTTACAACTTATTATATACTATATATATTTTAATTTTTATACTATATACAAGAAAACATACTACTGATAATGCAGAGTAACTATTAGTAGTACTACTACTACTACTGCTACTGCTACTACTGCTACTATTGCTACTGCTTCTGCTGAGAGTTGAGTTCAATCAAGACCTAGTAACTAAAGTGTTAATAGATGGTGCTGAATTGTTCGTCTAAGACTTCAGATTCCAGCAAACTTTTCATTACTTTGTAGTAATAAGTTAATAACACATATATTGTTTTGGTTTTGTTGTAGGATTTCATCGTATCACAGGGATCGAAGGCAATTTGATTCAATCTTCGTTGTGAGAGTATGAGCTGGGCTGGTTCATCATCACGTCTTCACACAACAGTTTTCTACAGTCCCTTCTATATGTTTACTTACTAACTTATCCATGAGTGTTGTTAATGTCATGAGGTGAGAAAGAATACTGACAATAAGTTCAAAACTATAATGTTATGCTCTCACACGCATCTTATGTGAGTTTTCCTCTAATGTATGTAAACTGTCTGTATAGTCACTGCGGTGAGCAGTGCAATATGAAAGTCGCCTAGTCATGGGTATGCTTCAATAATATGAGGCCATGTGATGCGTAATTGTTATCATATGAGAGCTGGGTAAGTTGACATGGTAATTCAGTTTAGTGCAGATCAGTTCAGTTCTTGATATGAGCACAAAAAAAACTAGTATGAATGGTATGAGGGTATAAAATTGAAATCGTGTTGAATGTTACAACGCAAAAATAGCGACATTTGTTACTCTTGCAGTACATGTATGTGTGTATTCAAATATATTATTTATTGCACAATCGTGTTTTACACCAAAATCAGTAGGTTTGTCATCGCATGCTTTAAATTAAAGCCGACGTGCGACGGCGTGATCGTAATTATGTTTTAATACCTTGTGAAGGAATAACCCGGCTCGAGGATATAAAATACAGCCGCTGATAAAACAACTCAACGCATGACTTTATATAATACACTCATGAATCATATTTATTAATAACTCCCCTCCAATCACCGCACGATACAATCTCAACACCACATTGGTTATAAATTCGTCATTTTAATAAACTACCTGACGCTGCCTACAAGTGCAGTCTCTACCTTCGTTAACGTTACCACTCGCTTATTCTGTTGCATCCCGACAGCGAATATAACCGCGGTATGACTAACTCCCAACCTCCGCTACACATATACTTATACCACGTTAACTTATATTCTCTAACCGCATTACTGTAACGTCGCAATCAATCTCACACGCAGTATCAATGATCTAAACTATTGACATATTCTAACTATCATACAAAGAAAAACCATATTTACGTATACATCATCTCGTCGGAGGAGGTTGGATAGATCGTCTCGTAGTCGTCCCAGCACACTCTCCCTTCTCTGTTACATTCTCTGCTTATTTATGCTAGTTTTCTAGCGCGACCGACCTCTCCTCTTCGGTCACTAGGCGTACCCCTCGTTTCCCTTTGTTTATTGTTATGCTGCTTTTGTTAGCTCACCTTGACATCGTCAAGCTGAGCTATTGCCATGGGACGTCGTCCGTCGTACGTCCGTCAACATTTGGCTACGGTCAACGATAACTCAGGAACCGTTTGACCCACATGTTTTAAATTGGGTATAGTTGTTAACGCTATGCTCCCATATTAAACGTCCTATTTCGGAGCACGCCAGTCGACGTACTTTCGAGCCACGGCAATTTTTTGGCAAGAATGGGAATTGCTATTAGTCAGTTCAGGTTCAACGGATTTTGCTCATTTTTGGTATGTGAATGAATAAGGGCTAGGAGTTTTAATGTTTAAAAAAAAATTATGCAAATTAGGTAGGGTTTGGCAGTTATATAGCATATTATATAGACACGCAGATAACAAACAGTCTGTGGTGTCACACTCGTCTGGTTCGTTTTACAAGATTTCATTGACAATATCTTTAATGCAAAATTTGCAGTATAATAGCTAATGCCAGTTTCGTGTAGACTATAATGATCCAACTCTCTTACTGAAAATTATTCCCTGTATGGACACTAACTTCATGGATTGATGCCAATATCTTCGAGTAGGATAACTGACTCTGGTCTATCCTTTTTAGATGTGTTTATGTCATGTATGGCTTAAACGTTTTTTGCAGGGATGCTGCACACAGAGTTCATCCACTGGCAGGACAGGGAGTAAATCTTGGCTTCGGAGATGTTGCCTGCCTGCGTGAAAACCTAATCAGTGCCAAGAACAGTGGCTGTGACATTGGTGAGGGTGCCACAAGCACACAGGCATGCACGCACGTACACTCGCATGCACATGCAAGATGTGTGCACGCACACACACTCACAGATGTACACGCATGCGCACGTTACGGTTGAGTAATAAGAATTCTCTGGGGACCTTATCTTTGGGTCTTACAATTTTGCTACTGTAACATTTTATATACATGTGCACTTGCATGCATGCATGCATGATTGAGTGTGTACTTGCGTAAGTGTTTATATAAGCACTAGTGATGTGATAACATATCTCACCACAAAATTCTCTGATATGTGACACACTGCAATACCAAAAATTCTACTGCAATAAGATGATATGCAATGTGCTGTTATCTAATGTGATGGAGTCCATGAAAACCTGTTGCGTTTCCGTCCATACAAGGAACAAGATATAATGTGAAGGCTTTTCTCATAGGTCGTTTGTTGTAGGGGATCTGGCACACCTCATGGATTATGAGTCTGAGCGTCAGCTTCGGGTGTTGCCTGTCATGGCGACAGTCGATGGACTGAACAGGCTGTACGGCACGTCGCTTGCTCCTGCTGTGATGCTGCGCAGCCTGGGGCTGCAGGCCACCAATGCCCTCAAACCACTCAAGGTCTTTCTATGCTATATTATACATACCCACTATATCCTATATATTCTGTGCTATATACTGTATACTGTTTAATATTTACTGTGTACAACTTATTATATACTATATACATTTTAATTTTTATACTATATACAAGATCACCAACTACTGATAATGCAGAGTAACTATTAGTAGTACTACTGCTACTACTGCTACTACTGCTACTGCTACTACTGCTACTGCTACTGCTACTGCTTCTGCTTCTGCTTTTGCTACTGCTGAGAGTTGAGTTCAATCAAGACCTAGTAACTAACGTGTTAATAGATGGTGCTGAATTGTTCGTCTAAGAGTTCAGATTCCAGCAAACTTTTTATTACTTTGTAGTAATAAGTTAATAACACATATATTGTTTTGGTTTTGTTGTAGGATTTCATCGTATCACAGGGATCGAAGGCAATTTGATTCAATCTTCGTTGTGAGAGTATGAGCTGGGCTGGTTCATCATCACGTCCTCACACAACAGTTTTCTACAGTCCCTTCTATATGGTTACTCACTAACTTATCCATGAGTATTGTTAATGTCATGAGGTGAGAAAGAATACTGACAATAAGTTAAAAACTATAATGTTATGTTCTCACATGCATCTTATGTGAGTTTTCCTCTAATGTATGTAAACTGTCTGTATAGTCACTGCGGTGAGCAGTGTAATATGAAAGTCGCCTAGTCATGAGTATGCTTCAATAATATGAGGCCATGTGATGCGTAATTGTTATGAGAGCTGGGTAAGATGACATGGTAATTCAGTTTAGTGCAGATCAGTTCAGTTCTTCATATGAGCACACAAAACTAGTATGAATGGTATGAGGGTATAAAATTGAAATCGTGTTGAATGTTACAACGTAAAAATAGCGACATTTGTTACTCTTGCAGTACATGTATGTGTGTATTCAAATATATTATTAGCTCACCTTGACATCGGCAAGCTGAGCTATTGCCATGAGTCGTCGTACGTTCGTCCGTCCGTCCGCCTGTCTGCAATATTCTATATAAATTATAAAATAATTTATAAACCAAAATGAATCAGAATTTGTGACGGTAGATGGCGCTACACCCGCTTGATGTTTCTTAGCATAAATCATTATATCATAATAATAATAATATAATATATATAGTATAATCATAATATGTATTCATTAGGCAAAAATTTGCATTAAAGATATTGTCAATGAAATCTTTTTAAAACGAACAGACGTGTGTGACACCACAGACTGTTTGTTATCTGCATGTCTATATAACATGCTTAAATGCCAAACCCTACTTAATTTGCATAATTTTTTTAAATATCAAACCCATAGCTTTATTCATTCACACATACAAAATGAGAAATCTGAACCTGACTGACTATTGTAGAGCGTAGTTTGCACTTATAGTGTTAAAGTATAATAATCAAGAAGACGGTATAGCATTTGTGTTCACCAAAAAATATATTGTGTTTTTATTATGGCTGCGTGGCAACATGAGTGCCCTTCCCTTCCCGCTGCGTGTGCAAATGAGTGATGCTGGAAGATTCCCTTTTATTTCCTGAAGTAACATCTGTAGCTGGCTTGGGAAATCAGTGCTGTCGGTAATCTTCCTGCTAATAATGAATTAATATTATTCGCCAACTGATCAAATGTGTCTTGTACATGCGCAAAAGACAACGCCAAACTGCTTATTGTAATCTGTAACCTGCTGAAAGTGATTTCAAATATGTAAGTGTTGTATTTGAAATTGAGAAAAATCTCTGGCATTTTATTAACCATTACTGTTACCTGTCGGCGTGTCACTGGTTAACTGCTGCATTACTTAGTGTTAAATTCAGTGTGAATCTCGTTGAATTTAAAACCGTGACTGACTGATTTATCAAATGTCTCATGCTGTCTCCCGATCCCTGCAAGGCAATTATTTCCTGTTGCAACTGCTTCACATCCGCCTCAGTAGCCGTCCCAAATATCATTTTAGATAATCTACCATCCGCCGAAAAAATAGCCGCTGAACGATGATGTTGATAAGAGAATGTATTATCTTGCAACGGGTTGTTAATGATACAATTTTACTACGAAACCAGGCACATGATTATTAATATAATATTCAGATCCATTGCCATTGCGAGTCAGACCCATTTTGATTTTGCGATAGGCCCGAGGTTTTTAGGTGCCGCGTGTCAGTTGGAACAGAGTAATTCTTTACCCAATACCGCCATGTAGTGATCAATCTGTGTAAATATTTATATTAAACGTAATTAGCCAATGACTTCAGTTACCGCCATTTGCCCTTGCTGCCTGGAACGATACCGCGCCTGGACTGCATGGATCTGCTCCACTGACAAGTCTCCCATGCTCTCTTGCAGGAGAAATACAACAACTGCCCTGGAAATAGAAAAACAATGTTATGATAATTCACTGACTGTTAGCACAACTACTTCAGTCGTGCCAGAGGAATGACGTCCTCTTCCTCCCACTCATCAGCTTCCTCTGCCTGCATGTGCGGTGCTTGCACAAATTGAGCACTCCGTTCCGGCTGTACCCGTCTGTCCGTCGTCAGTACTTTCTCTCGTGGCACGTACTTGTCCCATGCATCCTGTGGAAAAGCTGGCCGGAGGTTATCGACATGTACCGCATGTGTACGCCCTGACCGTACATCCTTAATAAGGAATTTAACTACCGACAACTGCTGAACTACTACGTAATATGGTCGAAAATACGACGCAAGCTTCCTCGACTGGGATGGCTTTCGTGTAGGATATACCATAAACAGAGTCCCCGGCACGAACTCTGCTGCTTTAGCTCTTTTGTCATAATAACCTTATTCTTCTCCCGTGTACGCCTCGTGTTCTCTTGAATCTGCGTATCACGCTCGATGAAGCCGTCGCGTAGCGCCAACGGACACTGGCCCATCATCAGCTGTA